TGCCTTATTTATTTATAAATTGTTTGTTTTTGTTGTACAATTTATGTCTAAGTTTTAATTGCTGCGAACGCGGGACAGAGGGCTTGTCTCCCGGTTAAAAAACATATATAAATATATATTAAACAAAATATATATATCTGTAATTTGTAATGTAAAGAAAACAATTTTTATAAACGACATACACACATCTATTGAAACTATGAATACTTGTATTAGACAAACTTTTTATATAGAAACTTTTTGTATAAACTTTTTTTATTACTCTTATGGTTATATATATACTTATATATATATTCAAAGTTAGTTTAGTCCAATAATAACTGAAGAGGCAGGCGGAAGATGCTACGATTAATAGGCGTGCTAATAAAACCATCTAAAGGAAATTTAAATAATATATACAACTTATGTGCAATACTAATTCGTATTAATAAATACCACAATATACATACATACATACATAAGGCAATACCGATATGTATCTGTACAGACATATGATATATAACTGCAATCGTATAACCCAAGTAGTCAAATATTACGATCTGCGATCTCCGCTGCGTTAACTAATTTGCATGCATTTTTGTACATGCGATCGGAAGCTCTACCCCCAAAATCAGAATCAGAATCGGAATCCTAGGCAAAATCAAATGGAATATCTCTAGACTAAGGGCAATACCTAAATCAAGTTTATCAAAATGTAAAGCAAATTTATTTTGTAACTTATACGAGTTGGGAAGCGATACCAAAATTTGCTACCATGCATGAGGCAAAACTATACGATATTTTTTCTATACGCTACCAAAACAAAGTCTTATTCAAATTGAAAAAAAAGCAACCAGACAGAACAGATCAGTCGCTTTGGACTTCTACCAAATATTATAATAAATAAAAACGATAGTCAAATCTATTAGCAAATTTTTGCTCGCGCTTTCTTTACAAGAAAAATAAAAATAATAAAACAAAAAGGCAAATTTAAGTCATGCAAAGTTGTAACTCAAGTTGATCGCGTGGCACTTTCAATAACACGTTTATAGCAATTTTTCTAGAATTTTTATATTACAATGAACTCAACCAATATGTATCATATATATACTATATACTATATTTTTTGTGAACTGCAAAACAAATTAATTAGCATTAGTTTGTTTTCGTTTTTATATTTTTGTTAATTCTTTTTTTTTTCTATTAAATACTTACCAATAATAAACGTGTATTAAATGCAAAAGAATCTACACAAAGACGAATACCAATAAGCCCCAAATGAAATATTATCAAATACAGCAAGCAGCCTGCTCTATGTAGTGTTAAAGACAATTTTTGCAAATATTTAAACAAACGCGTTGTTCTAAAACTTTCAAAGTAATGAAATGCTAGTCTTTAAAAAGACAAAATCTGTTACAAAAGGAAAAACACAAGGCGGAAGCGGAAACGGAAACTGAAACCGAAAGGCGAAAGCCGCTAATCGTTATCTATCGATAACTCTGTGTATGTCATGATGGTGTTTTTTAAATGTAGTAAAATTTAATATTTTATAGATTTTTATACTTTTATATAACATATATATATACTTTATACTTTAACTGTTTACCAAAAACTTAACGAAAATGTTACAAAAAAACGGCTAAAAAAAACAACTTTAAATGTGCTATAAATGAAGGTAACTTATATCAAACAAATATTTTACTGTACCAAAAAACGTTGATAGAGAAAAGCTGAGAAAAACTCCTTACGGCAAACTGCTCAATGTTTTTGCCGCTAACGAGGTTATTGCTTTTAGGAATCTGGAATCTTGTGTAGCGTGCTATATAAATAATAATTAATTCTAGGCAATCAGTTATGTTTCGTTTCGTGTATTCGGTTTCGATTCGATCCCCCTGCGAGTTCCAAAGCAAAGACATTTAATTTTTAGCCCACTTCCGAGCTTGAATTACGGATAGAATGAAGTTGGACTATTGACCGATTTAGTTCGATAGAGAATCTTGTTATAGGTAAATGTTTATGTTGATTTTGATATGGATCCTAGTGTTATATATATACATACGGAAATGAAAACTTGTACGCCTAATTCTTAAATATATTTTTGTATGTTTTGTAGTTGCTAGTAGTTTCCTGGTAGTTTTAAAATAAAAACCAACTGCGTTGAGACATTTTTATACTTTGTTTATTCTTTTTATACATATACATATATTATATATTCTTAATAAAGTATGACGACAGAAGTAAATATTTGATATATACACTTTATACAAAACAAAAAAGGGAAAAAGAAAAGGAAACTGACAAAAAAAAAAGTTTTTTGAAATTAATAAACGGACATAACGTGAATTGTGTTTTATTTATTTTTATATATATATCTTGTATGTACTTTTTTATAACAACTGTAAATAAATAAATCTTTTAACTTAGCTGAAACCACAGAAATATGACAAAGATTAAACTGTTAGTACATACAATTAAATACTTAATACGAAAGACTCTGAAAAGGAAAAGTATTGAAATTCGAACTTATTACAAACTTAAATATGTTAACTGAAAATCTAAACAACCAATTGGTCAATATGTGTTTTTTATACCAAAACCAAAATCCAAAAACGAAAACCAAGAGGAAAACAAAACCAAAATGATAAATAAAAACAAATACATAAACGTAATTATATGAAATTTACACGTAGTACAATTCAATAAACTTAAAACGTAAACGCTAAACAAGTGAATATTTTTGAAAGAACCCCAGAAAATGCTTCAAAATAATTGCCAAGGCAGCAAAGTAACCAAACATTAATTATAAATAGAGTAAATACAACCTTGCGTAGTGCAAAATAATGCAAATTAGAGCCGCGTTTTGATTTCGCCTAGTGAAAACTCCTCTCTAATGGGAAAATGGAATGGAAATACTCTGCGTTTCGAGGCGGGATTGTAGTCGAAAAAATTCAAATTATTTTTTGAGTATTTTCATAGCACAATTTTTGTACAGTGTATGGTTTGTAGTTAGCGAAAGAACGAATGTGTGTAAACCAAACGCGTTTTAAATAGACAATTTTTTAGTCTCCAAAAAAGAAAACAATGTGAACTCAATTTCAATTTTACGCTAATTGGATCGAAGCTTGGATCGCCGTGAAAGGAAAATAGAAAAAAAGATAGAAAATTTGCAAACGACAAGGTTATTTAATGAATATTAAAAAACAACATTCGGTACCTTTTAAACATAATTAATGAATTTTATAAACAACAAGAAACCAAAAACCAAATTGATACTGAGAAATTGTAGCCTGTAAAGCGAGTGTCACGCACCCGCACTTCCATTTTAATTTTAATTTAATCTTTTGTCGCCTTCGCGTTAATTATACAGCGACGAGCGCGATTACATATGGATACTCTATATATATATGTACATATATATAATGTTTAGTACTTCAAATAAACTGAAATTGAGCGCCCTTACTAATGAATTCCTTTTAGCAAAATATTCAGAAAAAAAAGAAAAACAAAAACAAACCAAGCAAAGGCATATAATTTTTTAGCATTATACAAGTGAAAATATACTGAAAACTGAACAAAAAAATAATAATATAAATAGTAAACCGAAAAAAACACAAGTTGGCAGATATGAAAACTATATAGTGAATCAAATAAATATATATATATACATATATGACACGTAATCTGTATGAAGCGTATGAAAACCAGAAACTAGCGAAATATTCCATATTTTATAGTCATTTTCAATAAACGTAATTTTTTAATTTTTACAAAATTAAAGTTTGAAAACAAAAATGAAAAAAAAAGAACCCAATGAAAATAAAAAAATCAATAAAAATATTTGTAGTTTTCTAAAGCCCACAAAAATCAATCTAAAGGGGTAAACACTGATTATAATAATGATTATAAATAATTGTAAACAGTTTCGATTTCCAAGCGTGTTTTTGCTCCACAGCGTTGAAGCGTTTTCAATTAAATTAACAGAAAAACCAAATACCAATGTTTAAACAAATGTTACGAAGCCCAAGAATAAAAGCAGACCATAGATAAAACGTATGTACTAAACTAAAGTAAATAGTAATGAAATAAATATATGTACTAGACGCATATGCAACCAGTTCGCCCCCTAAACTAATGAATCTCTCTCGAAAATTGAAACTGTAATAGCAAACCCCAAATATCAGCAGTACTTGCAACGCAATATTCCCAAGGAAGAAGGATAACGAATCCGAATAAGCAAAACCTAAACCCAAAAACCAGCAAATCAAATATGAAATAATACATAAAAAATACAAAATATGTAAGCCCGTATGGTGGGAAATATACATATAGGATTATAATATATATACACAAGATATATTCAAAGCCCAACTCGTTTTCTAATGCGCCACACAAGCATCACACTGTTTGGAAAATCCAACAATCGGCAGGCGTTTGTATTCGAAAATGTGAAATTTGAAAAACACACAAAAAACACCCCAAACACACCCAAAACACACCCAAAACACACACACACACACAGTCCCTGAGGAATAATGCAGGTTATGGAGCAAGTAAATAAAGCATAAATGGCAAAAAAACATATATCTTCATTCAAATAAATAAAAATACTTTTTCTGGAATAACATAAAATCGTATATTATTTTATTTTCATGGTGTTGGAAATCCGGTGTATTTTAGGTTTGTTTTTTTCTTGTTAAATGTCTAAGTATTGTAGAATATTTATAATGGTAATTTTGATTTATTTATTTACTGTTTGCTTGAAGTTTTTAACTAAAGCTTAGATACCATAAGCTGTTTACAAGCCCAGCAAATATTTATTTAAAGAAGATGTCTCAAAATGCCTTCATATCGGACTTCTTTACAGAGATGCCTTTGGAAGCCAATTTGTTTTAGATCCTTCTTTTAGGCAATTGTTTTTATAAACTTACTAGCCGTTTTCCAGTTAGTCAAGTGTAACATGATAAAAATTATTAATTCCACAAGACACTGTAAAATAATCCAAAATAAATTTCAAATTTCAGATCTGGCAGCATCGAGGGTGTGTCACCCACCTCGAGCGGCCCAAGTCTTATTTCCGCGCTGTCGGCTGCCGGCGCAGCTGGAAGTGGTGCCAGCGGAGCTGGAGGTGGCGGAGGAGGTGGTGGCTCCGCTGGCGACAGCATCAGCAGCGGCGGCGGCACCTGGAGGCTTATCAAGGGCAAGGTCTCGCAAACCATCGAGGAAATCAAATCCGCCAAGCATCCGCCCAGCACATCAACGATACCCATTATTGTGGCTGACCCACCATCGACTGGCTGGAGCAATCCCGATCCCGATTCGGACACCGAGTGCGTCACCGTGAACACGTCCATCAGCGAGGAGTTGCCGCTGGACCAGGAGCACAGGCAGAACTCTGACTCGGACGCGGAGGCCGAGCTGCTGCAGCTTGACAGCAGTAGCCTGGGCAGTGGCGACGTTGGAGCAGCTGCTGCCATCGGATCGGAGCGATCCCGCCTGCGTCGAGGCCTTGCCCACATCCGGTCCAAGGTGAAGGCCAAGCAACAGGCGTCGGCTGCCATGAACAAAAAGGATCTCGCATCCGGTTCCAGCGGCACAGTTCCAGTGCCGCAGACGACGTCTTCAGTGCGTAGCGGTTTCCTTCGCCGCAGACATGTGGTGGAGGCGGGCAGTGAGCCGTCCACCAGCCAACAGGCGGAGATTCCCATTGCGAGTGGCAAGGTTAAGAAGCGGGGCATCCTGCTGGCACGCAAGGACGTGGAGATCGAGTCGGGAGTGGAGGTGCTCGAGGACATGATACCCGCGACGGTGCAGAAGAGGGATTCGATGCGAGAAGGCAAACAAACGCCGGATGAGCAGGATGCTGGGGCAGTTAACAAAGAATCGGTGGTTACTCTTTCGCTTCCATTGGACACGGACGTCAAAACGAAGGCCAAACAACCTCCTTGTGCTAGCAGTGGGACACCGAAGTCGACGCGCGATTCGCAGAGTATCTTCTCCAACCTGAGCCAGGCCAGCGTAAAACGATGGCGGGAGAAGCATCAGGGTGCCGCGTCCTTCGCCCTGCCCGTCCTTCTATCTTTGTTCCTGGTCATACTGATGATCCTGCCGGTACCAGACTTTCTGCGCGGGGTCTTCGCCACACTGCTCTTCTTCGTGGTGATGGACAGCTGGGGCAGCCGCCTTCATAAGTTGGTGGAGCATCTCCTGCTGACCACGCACCCGGAGAGGGACGCCTTTATGATACCGAACTACAAGGACATGCCCATTTGCGAGATACCTGCTGTGGAGGAGCACAAGACGATCAAGACGTACGCCGGCTGGATGAACGAAATCGGCAGCTACGATCCCAACACATTCTCCTTCACCCTGACGAGATCCGTGTATGTGCGCCTCGATGGCTGCATTCTGAAGATGTCGGGCACGAATGCCAGGATACCCAAGCGTCGCATGTGGAACGAGCCGCCCATCGATCGCAATAAGATTCTGTTTACGGATCACCGATCCTATGACCTCAGGGACTGCCGCATCGAACTGCTGCCGTTGGGTCTGGCCAGGAAGCGGTGAGTCCTAAGAGGATTTCCTCATACTTCTATTACTTATTCTACTGTATGTTTCTGGCAGGTTCTTCAATCGCAAGTATCCTATTCAGTTGATCATAAAGAGCAGCAGGGATGTGCCCGAGGAGGCCATCTCTGGAGAGAGCAACTCTGATGTAACTATAAAACCAGAGCCCAAGGATACCAAAGCTGCCTCCACTTCAGGGACAACCCCACCGGGAGCCGAGGATCAAGATAAGCAGGTGGACTTTGCAGCCACGGTGATGCAGGCCGATGTAAGTCACTCATCCCTCCCTGAATCTTCTATACTAACCTTTACTTACTCTTCCTTAGTTGCAGCAATTGCGCAACACCGTTAATCCGGACAAGGAGCTCACAGAGATCACCGTGCCCTGCGGCGATGAGGTGCGTCTGCTGCTCTTCTCGCGCTGTGATCGGGAAAAGGAGGACTGGTATCGACGCTTCTTGGCTGCAAGCAAGGGTCTCGTTCACGAACAGGATTTGCAGGTGCCTATGGCCCGATTTGTGGAGGACACCGATCTGCAGGCTGCTGCGGCCAAGCAGGCCGTTCTCCTGGTGGCCTCAGGCCTGGGTGTGAGCAGCTCAAAGGTAAGTCATCCTGGAACTGTAAGTGAGCCAATAATAACCCCAAACTCGGAACAGACAAAAGGCAAGGAAACCGAGGACAAAAGCGATGAGGCAAATCCAAATGAAGAATCCGAATTGCAAACGCCGGAAGTACAATTTGAAAACATAACTGAGGAGGACCTCATCGAGACGCCAAAGGACGATAGTTTCGATGGCATGATTATGAGTGCCAATGTGGCCAGGAATTCGCCGGATTATGTGCGATTCATGGCAGTTTACCAGGTAGGCAACCGTTACCCTCTAAATATACTTTATTTTTTAGTTAATTATTTTTCATTTGCTATTATTTTCATTTGTTTTCCCCAATTGGCTTTTGGTAGAAAGCTTGTTCCCAGAGCACTATTCCCGTGACCAGAAGATCCGTTGGAGAAATCTATTCCGAAAAACACCGCTCAAAAAAAGTATGTTTTCTTATGTTTCACTCAGTTATTTTTCCCGTATTGTTTGTGGGATGTGGGATCTGGGTTTAATGAGCTTGAGAGCTAAAGCCTCCTTCTTGCAGTCTCGCCGTGCCAAACGTCAGGAGGATGAGCTGTGGAAGGGAATTGACCAGTCTCTGTTCCTGGGCCCATCCGGCAGCATTGTGTGGGCAAATGTTTTCCTGGGCCGGTTCTTATACAGCTGTCTTCACGATACTTTGCTGCAGGAGAGGATCAAGGATGTGCTGCAAAAGAAGCTGAACTCCATCAAGGTAAGTGATCGTTTCCAAGTACTTCTAAATAGTGTTTATAACCTGAATAATCTATTTTTAGCTACCCAGCTTCATGGAGGAGGTGGTGATCACTAACATCTACCTGGGCCGATCTCCATTGCTGTGCCATCGCATCTCGCAGCCCATGCTGGATGAGCGCGGTGTCTGGATGGATGCAGATATCACCTACGAAGGATTGGCCCACATAACTGTGACCACCAAACTAAATCTACTAAGGATTCGTGGAAAATCCAAGTCGCCAATGGCTGCCGATTCTGCGGCTTCAACCGCTTCGTTCGTGTCCGAAAATGTGCCAGATTCGCGCAGCAATATGGATGCTGGCAGTGAGAATGTCATCTATGATAGTGACGCAGAGAGTTCAGGTGGCTCATCCACGGAATCCGAGAGCCCACCGCCGGGCAATGCCCAGGAGAATCCTGCTGGGACTGAGTGAGTATATAGAGGGCTTTGGGAAAGACTCGTTTTGGATTAAAACCTTTCCACCCTTTGCAGATTCTTCCAGAATTCGCCGGGCAATGCGCGGCGCATCTTTAAGATTGTGGATCGCATAGCCGCCTCCAATTTATTCCAATACGCCACCGAACTGCCGTACGTGCAACGCGCCATGGAGAACATGAACGCGAACATCACGTTGCGCGTAGATCTCAAGGGTATGGTGGCGCGCGGCACCTTGAACGTACCGCCACCACCCTCCGACCGGGTGTGGGTCAGCTTCCGGGCACCGCCACGCCTGTGGATATCCACCAAGCCCCAAGTGGGCGACAAGTCCGTCGACTGGTCGATCGTAACCAATGTCATCGAGAGCAAGCTGTGCGAGGCTGTTAACAAGTTCTTGGTCTATCCCAACATGGTGGACTTCTCTGTGCCGTTGTTGAGCAATCCCAACTGTGATGAGGATCCCCTGGCAGCCGGGAATTGAGAACCAAAGGCTAGTTAAGGATAATGAGCGATGAGATTTGATACATCTCCATTTATTTATTGAATTTAACACAAAGTGTGAGCGAGAATTTTCTAGGTTTATTTTTTGTAAACTTCAAGTTTTAGCTTAGGTCCGCGATCTCTGATTCCAAATACGATACGTAAGAGAGAAGATTCCAAAAGAAAGACAAGTTTCAAGGCGCTTATATTTTTGATCACACATTCTGTTCACACTCCAGGAAACACACAATCCCAATCCAGCTTTATGGGCTTGGCTACAATAATTTACACTACTGATAATACCGAAGGATTAGCGGGTGAAGGTGAAGGGGACTTAGAATATATTTATATTTATATAGCATATAGAATATGCTGCTAATACAGCCGCTCTGTGAGGTCATCACGACAAGTATTCCAATAGCATAATGCAGGCATATGTATCCCTTACTCTCCTATATACGAACAACTATAATATACGGCCTCTATATATTTATACATTCACTATATACATATTCCAAGTAGCTTAGCGATAGTATGCGTGTGAATTTTAAATAAGAAAATCGAATTTTATTTGCGATATGACGCGATCCGTATGTACTTAAAGCGTTTCAACTATTTAAAATACTATATGCTACCGAGGATAAGCGGTGGGGGTGCATACTATATATCCGTACGTACATTTTGCCAAATAAGAACAACAAAACTATTCCGTTGGGTTCCAATTTTATGCAACTTTAAGAGACAACAACTAAGAAATATATCATTTACACGGTTGTTTTATTCCAGGCTATCAACTAAGTACTCTAAATCATTTAAGCTACAGCAAGAAAAACCATCGTATATATATACAATTTATTTATGAAAAACATTACAAATAAATGATAGCGATATGCTAGCACATCTTCGGGGTTTTTATTCAAATAATCAAGATTTTTTGGCGCCTTCTTTTGCTCGAGCTTTAAGCTTATGTTAACATTTCGATAACATTTAGTTAACATTGGTCTTGAGCTTATAAAATTTTAGCCGTTGGTGTTTACTTTCGAATGCTGAATGCTACAAAAGACGGAAATAGTTTTTATGCATTGATCTACTGCTGGCTTCTGTGCGCCTGGTACATAAAATCCGGTATTTTATTGTACAGGAAATGTCTTGTTGGTTCGGACCAAATCACAGTGCCAATTGTTCGTCTTTCACATTTCGAGTACCAGGCGAACAGAAAGCAGTAGGCGAACGATGCGGTGACGTCATGAGTATGGCGGATGCTAAGAGAGGCCATATTGGAATTATACGAAGTGCTCTCATGGCGACAGCTGCTCTCTCTCTGAGCTTAGGGCTAGAAAGAGAGAACTAGTTACTCCCTCGAAGGGAACAGATCACAATGATGGCTTCCTGTTGTAATAGAAATTAAAACACAAAAGCTTTCCTTATTGAAATTAATATTTTTTTAAAATAGATATGGGTTTTTAAAATTTAGAAATGTCCCTAAAAACCTTATTTTAAATATTTTTCACATGCTTAGCTCATCATTTTTGCTGATATATTATAATGGACATTTTTCCATATTCATCCCTAATTTCTTCCAATTTTTCTCACTAAATATTTCTTTATTAGCTGGCGCCGTTCACCAAAGCAGAAACTAACACCAACCAGGTGTTAAATAACCATTTTTACATATTTAAAACCACCATCAAGTTGGATTTAATTTTTCTTTATTTTAATTACTTTTCATTCACGTTCAGAAATGTACATTTTTAAATTGCATTTTGCCTCGCGTTCATGGGGGATTTTTTTTTGTAAAGTTTTGTTTTTGTGTATTGTGTTTTGGGTTTTTAATGCTTTTTATGCTTTCGATTTCGATTGCGATTTTCATTGCGCGCTGTTTCCAAAAAGTACATTAATTAAACTACAGACATACGTGTATATAATATGCATTAATAATAGAGTTATATATGTATATATAGAATTCAAAAATGTACAACATTCATTTTTAACAAAAGAGCCGGAACACGCCACGGTGCGTGCTGGCCGGCATATGTAGTTAAAAACTCGAAGGATAGCCATAGCAAAAACAACTAAAGTTACAACTTAAGGTTAGAGACTTACCAACTAATACACATACTAGTACAATGTCAATGCCATTTCTTTCAATATTTTCTTGTATATATTTATGGTATGGTATGAGTGCTTGTATTTATGCTTCCGTAATGCTCCATGTGGCACACGAAACTTATGCCTCGTTAAAAGTCATCTTTCAAAATTGATTTCATGGTTCGTCGTTTCGTCGATCTCAAAATTTGTTATCTTATTTTAAATGTTTTCTTCTTCTGTGATGTTTTTGAGTGGTTTTTTCTCTCTTCTTTCGCATAACAAATATGTTAAAAAGACTAAGAAAAATAGTTGCAATATTTACGCATATTGCCGTTTACTACTTATTAACTAAAACTGCTATCAAAACAGATTTACAAATAAATATTCCAAGTAAGTTTTTTGTCGTAAAACCTCAACTACGATCATCATCATCAACTCTTCTGTCCTTTAACGTCCGTCTCCGTTTTTGAGCAACACTTGTTCTTTAAGAGATATTCTTGAATATTATCGGTAAATGGATTATGCTGGCTATGATCTTAGCTTATCGTTAGAGTAGAGCTTGTATTAATCTGTTATCTGTGTGAAAGTGTAACTGTCTGACCCGTTCCATGCGGCAAATGCAGAGTAATTGGTTTCCGTTGTTGTTCATGTTGTTGTTGAGCACGTCGCGGTGTTCGGTAGGGTGTTGTTTGTATCATTTTCTGGGGGAATTCTAGGAGGGATCGTCGCTCTATACTGTCACTGTCCTGCTGTTTTGGCTCTTCACTGCTCTACGCATTTACTTTGCTAACTCTCGAAACAACATCTCCTTCGATTTACAGGCGCATGTCGTTGTATTTGGCAAAGGCCTTGCACAGGGCAAAGGCCAGGATAATGAGGACCAGATGGACAATGCCCACCACAATGACGCCGATGATCAGCTCCCGTTGTCCAATCAGCCACTCGGTGAAGACCTCGTAGCAGCCCTGGAATAAAATAGAAATTTTAATATCATATCAAAGAGGAAAGGAAGCTTAGCTTACCTTCTTGTAGAAACTGTTGCTATCGCTGGGATTGGTAGTGCAGTCCTCATCCCGTGGCACCAGCTTGGCCACATCCTTGAGGATGCAGCAGGCATCGGGAATGGTGCGATTACCCTTGCCGCTAACCCACGCCGGCGAGGCCTCAAAGTCACGATAATCGGAGATGCCGCAGCAGCCAAAGTTGCCCATCAGTTGGTTCCACATCAACGAAGTGGCATCCACATTCTCACCCAGCGAATAGCTGGTAATGGTGGTCTGCAGGAAGTTTTTGCTCTCGGCCCGCACCTTGTCCTTGTAAAAAGCGGCCAGTCCGCCGGCCACAATCTCGGCCACCAGCAGCAGGATCAAAAAGGTTCCATACTGAAAACGTAATTATAATATAATATTGTTTTATTTAACTAAAATAGGACTTGAATTATTTATACAGTCTTTGCTCGCTTTGCTTGGAATACTTGAGTGCTCGGTTGACCCAATTCAATGGCCACTTGGTGAGCCGTGCAGAAAAATCTAGCCATTTGACCCTGAGCTAAATGTGCAGCATTTGTCGCTGGTGGTGAGTTTTGGCCCGCACTCACACACATGGCCACGGAATTCCACGGATAGATACAGATACTCAGATACTCGGATATGGATGGGCAGATGGGCGCAGGGGCGTGGGGCGAAGGAGGTCGCAGCATGCAACGCAAAATGCTGAAGGTCATTCCACAATGTTTTGTTGCATGTTTTGTAAAAAGCTTTTGCGGCTTTTTATTCTACTCTCGGTTAGCTGGCCAAGAAATGCACAGCAAGAAAAGGGGTAAAACCATTAAGAAACTACTATATTATGGACTAGCAAAAGTTACTCTATCTTTTCTCACTGTGGATGTAGATGCGTTGGCCCGATAAGCTCGCTTTTAGTAGCCCGTTGTTGCGGCTGTTACGCCTGGCGGCATTTAATCTGAGCCAGCGTGGGCGTTGGTGGTAGCTGGCTGCCCATGTATCTGTCAGATACACATGTGCAAGCTCACTGAGTTCGCTCAGCTTCACTTGTATTTTTTTGTTTTGTTTCCATGGCAAGTGTAGCGATTTGAAAGCGTTTAAGTGCGACGGCTATTTGCAATCTCTTAGCTTTTATACTTGGCTAAAATAAATACACATAATACACCAAATGAAAAAATCAATGCTAAGACACATTAGCCATGCGTTGAGCTGAGCTGGGTCTGGGCGGCCTTGGGATGCGTTAACCAAATGGCCTGGCCTTGGCTAATTTAAGTGCAAATTGCGCCCAAGAGGGTCGCATGCAGGTCGCGTGTTCGGCAACGGTGCGCATGCGCAATTCGCCTGCCTCCGTCATGGTTAATTCAGCTCTAAGCTCTCAGCTCCCTTGGTAACATAAATTGAAAATTCACCTGTTTTGTCGCTGCAATTAAACTGGCCCAAGCCAAGCCAAGCCCAGAATTGGTGGGTGCGACCAGTCAGCCAACCGGCGAGTGTAAATAATGCAGGTAAATGCGATAAAATGTTTATTAATTACTGCAATCACCTGAGTGCGTACTCTCTGCCATAGAAAGTCCCCCAGGTCCCCCCCCCAGGTCACTTGTAAATGTAAATTATTCTTTCCAAGCGGGAGAAATTACCATTCAACTCACAGACCAACAGAAGGGCTTGTCCCTCTCGTTGGAAACCAATTGTTCAGTCATACATACCAGTTATCTATGTACATATATCTGATAATTTACCTATACAAAGACTTTGTCTACATTGTACAACTTTCTCTGGTGTATCTTCTCTGGCTTTTCCAACCAAAAAAGCCAAAGTCAAATGATAGAAGAAAACCTCTTCAGCAAACGGAAAAGTTTCGGTGGCATGCAAACAAAAAACGTCTGCAACTGAAAATGCCTGGCAATCGGCCAAACTCGAATCGAATCTCAGTCCCCGAAGTAACTGGGCATCTTTCATTTACAATGTATCGATGATGCAAGACCGTAAAGCTGTGAGCTCTGATTGGACTCATTGATTGCAAGGGGCAGAGGAAATGCAAATTTGCTACATTGCGTTTTGGGGCCGACAAAGAAGATGCTGGATATTGCAAGAGGAAAATCATAGCTTTTACAACCTTGTCAGCAACTCAAGTTCCCTCAGTAAACCTTTAAAATTTGTCACTTTCTTCCCAGAATTTTCCAATTTCCATTTCCATTGCACAGAAGTGCCACAAACTATGTATATTCAATATTATTCACTTACCGTCGACAGCAGACAGCGAGACTCTCGCATGGCCCCCAGATAGCCCAAGAAGCTCATGAAGAACATCACGGCTCCGATGACGAGGAGAACATAGGCCAGTTGCTCTATGACCTGCGGCTGTGTAAATTGCTACAAATACAAATACAAATACAAAGAAAATAAGTAATATAAATGGTAAACGTAGTAATTGCGGATGATGTCTTCACTGCGTATACGTAATTAAACTTTGAACTAACCAAACGAAAGTAATGTGTCTTTCCTCATTGGTATAATTCAATTATACGCATATTTAGCCCCCGTAATTGACGTAGGCAGATTTTGAAATATATCTCAGCTAAATGAGTGAGTGGACCTTTGGACAGAAAGTCATCAGTTCATTGACATACACACTGATATGATGTTATATGTAGTTCCTGCTAAGCATTTACAATTAGCTTCTGATTTCATGTCTATCCTGGGCGACCCCGCAATTAGTACCTCCGTGTGAGTGCACTTTTCATTTGTTTTGCCAAAGCGAAAAACTCCATGTGGTCGAGTCAGATAGGAAAAAGGGGTTTTCCACAAACACACACACGCAGAAAACCTTGGACATGCAACTTTTGATGGAATTTGTCGCAGTTGTTGCAAAAAAAACTTTGTGGATGTATGAGCTAAGGGCACCACTTTAAACAACGATTTGTACATTTTTTGTGCAAGTTTCAAGAGTTTTTGTTTGAAATCATAAAGTTAAAGGGGGTTTATACAGTTTATATTGAATGGAAATTGATAGAAAAAATAAAGTTCTTTGAGCTATTAAGAAGTTATACTCAAAAAACGTTAAGGAAGGTTTTCAATGTTTATTTACTAAGTTTAAAGGAGCAATTTGTAATTCTTAAAGTGAATTTAATACTTTTAAGTGTTGCTTGATTAAATATTCATTTTTTATAAGACCTATTTCTGGCTTTAATTCTTTGTAGCGCATGAATATCCCCCTTTAAATGCTCGTACTAACTAGTTTCTACTATATCTAAATTCCCTGCTTAGTACCCTAAAAGGGGGTGGATCTGCAACTAGTAAGTAAAGTAAAATAAGTATTCCAACCCAACTACATTTACAATAAACATTAAAAGCCATCCCCCATTGTTGACCAGTTTGTCAATAAACACAATGCACATCGTGTGCACTTTGATTAGGGCTTTCATTTTTTTATTCCACCCCTGAGCAACTAGTTTATTCTATAATTATATTTTTTTAATAATCGCAGTTCCAGTACTGACAATTACTAAAGGAGGACTTGCACGTGAGGTTGAATCTATATTTGTGGGGTGGCTTTCCTATATATTGTAGCTCTTGATTTCTATATCAATGAATTGCGTATAGTATTAAATTGAGTTATAATTGGATAGAGTGCAGTGGTTTTTCGGTTTAACGGGGTCTCAGCTGGGGGTGTGTGCTGCCTCTGTGGCAACACTTTCACCCGGAGTTGGGCGGGGATTGGGAGTTACTTCGTCTTACCTCAATGCGCTCGCTCTCGACCAGCTTGAGGAGAGCAATCAGCGAGTGCTTGTCCACGGCCAGCCATAGTCCGACTCCGAATATAATTGTGCCTAGCACCTGCAAAAGACATCGAAAATAGTCGTGTAAATATGTGTGTATACGGGTACAGGTAAATGTTGCTATGCGTTTATGCACTGGGATAAATAGGAGTGTAGTTTGGGAATTTATAGTGTGTTTTTTATTGCATTTGAGAGGAGATTGTTTGCTTTAATTTTAGATACTATTCGGAAATGTATACATATTTGTAACTATAATCTTTGCGAGATTAACTATTAACTTCTCAGCTTAAACAGCTTTAAAACTTTATGACTTATAGATAAAATCCAATTTTTTGTGAAAGGAATAGACTATTTTTAAAAAACATGTTTTTATAAGTTTAACATTATAATTTTATGCCAAATTAATTGTATTTTTATGATAAACTTTCAGGTTGTAGAATTTGTTTGAAATTAACTTTAAATCCTCATTTTTACTTGATGATTAAATAGGAAACGTATACTTAAATATTAAGTATTCTATAAGACAAATATCCATGTATTATTGATACAACATTTTATAGTAATAATTAAAAAAACCTTTAACCTTTCCAGAAAATAATACGAAGAATCTATTATTTTGTTTCCTATCAAAATAGTATAAAGATATCTAGAAGTAATTTGCAAATTCTTTTTTAAATATTCCTATAGGTCTCTGCTAACAAACACTTTATAATCCTTTAAGGGCCTCTTCAAGTTGTTAAAATATATTTTATAGACCCTTTTCCGGCGAGTGCATTAAAAAACATGAAGCATAAAACACTAGACCCCCCTGGACATGCAAACGCAGTTGATGATTGTTATTATTATGATGTTTATGTTGCCTGCCCATGTTGATTGCATTCGAAAATGCCGATGATGAGGTTAACAATCAACACACTAAAGCTCACAATGATGATGATGATGATGATGATGATGATGACTATAGTAGTGGAGTCAATGAACCGCTGCCAAGCGCTGAAAATGCGGGGAAAAAACAGCAGCAGCAACAGCGCCTGCGCGGAGATTTGCTTGATTGACTTTGCATGGAATGTAATGTGACGGAATGGCATGGAATAGGATGGGATTTCATGGGATTTGATGGCTTCAACAGGAGGAAACGCACCTATCTATCACACAAATTATACACCTAAATGTGCATGGATACTTACGAAAAATATAAAATTGAATATGCAAAGCAAATACTTTGCACACCAGACTCCGCAGTCAAAGACCATTTTCGTTGTTTTCGAAATCTTGCGGCTGTTTTCCTCACAGGGAGCTCCTCTCGAACTGCAATGGTAAAGAGAAATTCCACAGTTAGTTTCTAATTGAATTAAAATATTTTTACTTAATTTACCTAATTTCACGTTAAGTGCCATAAACACACACACGGCTGGGCACACACGCGTAAAGAAAGTGTCACAAAAAAAGGGGCAACAAAAAAAGGTAAGAGTAACACATAAAAACGAAAATACCAAGAAGTGTAAATAAACAAGAAAAGTATTTCTAGCCATGTTGCATTTGTTATCGGACAAGTTTGTACCTACAATATGTACGTGCCTCGTGCCTAACAAATTAACATGTGAAGGGACCATTAAAAATTAGTGAATAACTGCGGCAGGAAATGTTTGATGTGGTACTTGAATACCCTAACAAATATGCAGGAAATTTGTGTATATATTTAATACTTATTAAAGAATTTTATTTGCTAAATATTACTTATTTTAAATATCACCGATTGACAACATTAAATGCTAACTTTTATCGAAATTTTGTAGATTTTAATGAAGTCTTTATATTTGATTTTAAACTAGAAGCGTATTTTCTTTAAAATGTCATAATGTATTAGACATATTTGAGCATTTATAATCCTTAATCCCAATCTACAAATAATTCCCTGCTTTTGCCAGTCTTTTTGAGAGATATTTTAAATTAAACTGGTTATAAGTTCCCGTTTAATTAGCCAAAACAACATATCACAACCAATAGAGACATTATTCTTCGTATGATAATAATATCGAAAAGCACAAGTTGCTCAACTAGAAGATACGTGAATTAAATTTAAACAACTGCCTGCTTTTTCAGAGATACAAGATACATTAATACCCTAGAGCGAGGCTGGAAGTTGCTCATGTCAAATTACTGGCTTTCGTTCATTCATTAATTCATTGAGTCTCGGCAAGAATCTCAATTTCCAGCATCTCTAGCAATGCGTTCCGCGTTAACTTTCTCATTAGCAGCATCAGAAGCAGCAGCAGCAGCAGCTTTTTCCTCCCGTTTTTCCACTTTTCTTTTCAGAGTCTGTTGTTGTTGTTTGTTGGCCAAGTTCTGAATGCGTGTGTGTATGTGCATAGTTATTTGGGTAAATATACAGACACACAAACAATGTCACGAGCTATTGAAGTTTGAAAAGTAGAACACTCGGCAGCGGAGCTAAGCCCTCTCATTCTGTCCCTCTCTTTTGGGAGGCTGTTGCCAAGTCGCGGCTGAAAACAAAAAACAAAAAAACGAAGAAGAAAAAAATGGAAAAAATACTGGCAAACATTTTCCTTGCCAACATTTTTGTTCTCATTCTTTTTCTGGTCCCTTTGAGCCCGGTAAAAGCCTGCCTTCCATCCGCTCCCGCTGAGGCCCTAATGATGTTTTGGCCGAAATGTAATTGTGAACACACACAGACACATAAGCTACCACCTACAGCTGGGGTCACAAAAATAGCTCTGAAAGTATCTAAAGTCACGATTTACTACATAAATACTAAATGAATTGTTATGATATGGCTTTAACAAGAAGGTTGGTGGAATAATGACTTGGCCTGTAATTTGGATTGTTGCCAACTGTTTTTGTTTTGGTAAATTTATAATTTTGTTTTAAAGAAACTCATTTAATATATATTATCTTTCGTACACTTATTTATGTAATTTATTATAGAACAATAAATGTAGCTAACTTCCTGTAACCAAAGTTTGTATTACCTTGAATTTAGCTATAGGGTCAATGATTCAAATGTTCATAACTAAGCCAAAAATGCATTAATTTTATTTCGGAAAACTTTCTTATGCTAGTTTTGATTAGGTTAATAAATCTGCATACTCAATATAACATTTTAAAAATTTTGAATTTTTGTCGATTTTGACAATTTTAATGATGTAACCCCTTATAAAATTTTGAAATTTTGGAAAATTTTCGAAAAAATTATTTTCAACCGGATATGGCTAGATCGAATCAGTTTTTAATGCTGATCAATATTATATATGGTTTATGGGGTCGTAAATGATTACTTCACTGTTTTGCAAGCTTGACTATATTTATAATACCCTGTAATGATAGAAAAGCTGTTTCCGTTTTCTCGAAAATTTATCGTCTCAGATTCTTTTTTATTCTTTTTGTAAGACTTTTTGTCTTTGGACTTTAATTAGAACAGAGTAAAATATACGATTAGAACCTACAGAGCCTTTAAAAGAGATATGAAATGGTGTAAATTAATAAATTAAATAAGTATTGTAAAACTAATTAAAAAATCATGTGATTTTAATAATTTTTAAATACAATATTTTAACCTTAGCTGTTAACACACTTACACACACATTCACACAAAAAGGAAGACTGAGTGCATGAGGTACTTGAATGCGAAACGCTCAAGGGGCCCACAAATACACACACACACACACACACACGCACACACACACATAAGCCGGGCTTTTGTGGGTGCTGAAATCCCCACAACACCCACACTTACCCCTCTTTTTTTCTGCACCCCTTTTCATGCAACTCTATCCTTTAACTCGGCAAAAGTTTATCAAAAATTTTTAATTGCTTTTCCATTGTTTCTCCAAACGCTCTCTGTACTTGACGTTCTGCCTTTAAATTAGTTTAAAATTTCTGCTGATAAAGCCAAGCAAATGACTATTCAACGGATGTGCATATAGTGGCTAATGGCTGTGACATTGAATCCATAATATGGAGGGGCTTAAAGGTATTGTTTTGGAAGTCATTTGTCTCGGCTTAAAGATTTAGCAGCTGAGAATCTTTATTTCTTATTTGCATTCCAGATTTGCATATTAAAATACCGGTTTTGCTGGATAATTGTTGAAATTGAGAGGCCATAATAAAAGCGTAAATATTTGTGCGTTTGCCAACAATTGACAATGCCTGGGTTGTTCTCACTTTCTGAATCTATATATTTGCTTGGCAAATAGTTACTTAATCGGTTTCCCCACTGTGATTTTATCGTTAACGGTTTCAACTTTTACCTTTTATCTATCTTTTAGGCTGCTGTGCAAATCGGAGCTTTAATTAATTCTCCGCCCGAGTGGAAAAGCTTCTAACTGCCACCCACTAAACCCACTACTGGTTTCTCGTTTCTCGTCTCTCTCGGCGCTCGTATCGGATGCCATGAGTTCCATACAAAATTCAAAAGCTTGCCATTAGCCCACACACACACATATAGGGCTTCGTGGCTAACACACACACACACATAACACCAATGACACACCCACGCGTGTTCGGGCCAAATCTTGTAATTAACTTTCAAGGGGCGCATGGAAAATATTGGCAGCATTTTAGCCAGCTCAGCATCAGCATTTCATCTAAACTCAAATATTAAGTCTGAAGATCTGCTTTAGATATAGAAGGATATATGGATATATATGGGTGCACAAACACACAAATATCAGATGGGGAAAACATTACAGAATAATGTAAAACAAATATGTACGAATTAGGTCTTTCCAGGAAAGCTATACTTTATTTTGCAATTATAATGAGGTTTACTTTATTTTTAAACAGGGGATTTTAAGTGTTCAAGGAAAATTTGAAGGTGGAAGAGGAAGTTGTTCAGTATTTATATCATAGCTGTATATTTATTTAAACGTTATAAATAATATAAACTTTTAAATTATATTTCTATATTTAATAGTTTCTTTTTCCTTTGTGTACTGATCTCTATGGCTTTAATCTTTTTTGTATATGTAATTAAATATGCATCAAACAAATGCAGAAAAAAATAAACACAGAGTAAAACCGCAAAATAAATTACAAATTTATGGGCTTCAAAGCTGACTTGCATTCGAGGCTTTTGTTTATTGTATTTGCGTAATTAAATGCTTGCACATGCTAGTACATACAGCATATTTTTTGCTGTAGAAAGTTAAGTTTTTTCTGGGGAAGCTGAAGTCTAGGGAGCTCCTCTCTCGAACACAACAATGCACATTTTTTTGTTATTTTGTTTTTGGTTTTGGTACAGAGGTGATTAAAGTATTTTCTTGCAAAAAGGAAATTCGAGCGGAGCTCAATTGTGGGACTAAAAGTCATTTTCTTGCAGACAGCATCTCTCTCTTTGCCATCCAAATGGGTTAAAGAAAGTCGTAACTTGTATTAATTAAAAAAAAAAGAAGAAATAATAATAAAGTGGCGGAAAAAAGACAGAGTTCAGAGGAAAATGCTGAGAAGGCTGTCATAACCCTTGGCCATAACTCTTCCGTTCGACTTCTTCGATGGGGAGATGTTGGTGTCCCCTTTGGTTTTGTTTTTCACACTTGTCACGTTCACTGGCTTGCCAAGAATTTAGAAATTTCATGTATTGCCAATGCTTTCTATTTCCCTTACTCCCCTTTTCCCCCCTTCGATTCCAATTCCGATTTGATTTGCTGGCTGACTCTGGATGAGAAAAGCTACAACAAGAAGCAATCGGGGGGAAAACTCATCATGCTCGAAACCAAAAGTGCCGGAGAAAACCACAGAAGCCACTTTTCTATCTGTCAAAGCGTGAGAAATTCTGTGTTCTCTTGGTGGCTATGTCTTTATAGCCACTTCCCCGGTCTTGGTAATTAAATTATAGAGTAATAAGCCTCAATTGGGTCACCTCCTCTCTCTCTCTCCAAGTAGTACTTAAATGCAGGTGGGTGGGTGTCCCTCATTCATGCATATGGGAGCAGGCGGATTAAAATGATTTTATGACTGGGATGCCTCATGTGGGAACTACTTGCATCCATATACTATATGCATATATATACACATGTGTTAAATGGGAGCTCTGAGTGGAATGTTAATGCCTAAATCGGCTTGGGAATCTAGCTGGTTGGAATGACGTTGACCGGATGAAGGAATTATATTAAATTATTCTGTATAAATATTTAAGCTTCATGGAACATATTTCATATTTAAAGTTCCAGTTCAAATGCAGTATTTGATAATGCCAATTGATTTCTATGGGATTTGTATTAATAAAATATGTAATAAGCTCTTCTTTTGCTCAATATATTTGAGGAAATAAAATATATAAAAGATATACT